ACACGTTTGTTGCATTGAATCTTTGTACATTTTTTATTTATGTTATAATATATCATGGATGCTATAAGCACGGGTGTTACACAATGCGAGTATGCGACCATGTTTCCAGTGAAGAATGCATATTCTTTTGCAACATTATAAGTGAATTTAGAAGAAAAAGGGACTCGGATTCTACTTTGGTTGCATATAATGAAGCTAAGCATAAATTGAATGTTCCTAATATGTATTTACATCGTACCATAATCGATGTCCGTGGTCTCTGTGGTGACTACATGAAATCTAAGTATATTTATGAGGTAATTGATTTGACTACCTTCACCTGCTAAAGTTCTTTGGATTTGCTTATGAGCTTCATTTATTTTATATGTCTCACTTACGGTTTAATATGCATATTGACATTAAATAGTCTATCAATTCCATGATCATGTTTTTGTGGCAATACCTAGCTACTTTGTTTGCATCTATTTCTTCCTTTCAATTGAATTGAGTGTTGAGCCCTAGATTATTTAGCTAGGGTTGCAAGAAAACAAAGAAAAAAATGAGTTGGTGAAATATGAACCATTTCATTGGAAGAATTAGTATCAAACTATTCAATGTGTACAAGAATATGCAAGTAACTCTCACTCACTCCCCCTTCCTCTCTCTCTCAAACACATACACACACAAACAATGCATGCATGCATACCCACACATACAAAAATTTTCCAGGGTAATCTTTTTAAGAAGCTTCGTATGGGTAATGCTGGAGTGCAAAGATGAGGTTATAGTGGATTTATTTGCTTGGAATAAGATATTTCACATTGCCATTTCTTGTCGGGTATTGTGTGATTTATCTTATTCTACTTACACTTTCAATTGTGTTAGGATCTCTCTCGATAAAAATTTTGATTGTTTCAAATTCAATTGTTCTTTTACTTTTCAATGTCCGGAGACAATCGAATGACAACTCCTAAGGTAAATTTTGATCTGGTCATTGGTAATGTTTTACACCGTAAATCTCTTTATGTGTTGAAGCATGCACCCAACTTTCGAGTCACCTGGCTTGATTCGTTAATGTGTTGGCGGCTATCCCATGTGTTTCCATGACGGACATCCTACCATGATAAGATGAGCATCGATTACAAAGATGTTGTACTATTACTTATTCATCAATTGCTTTGTTGCGGAAATTGCTAATCGAGTTTGTCTTGGTCTTCTTCCAACAAGTAAGGGCGGTTAGACTACTGCATTGTTAGGGCATTAAAGTTTAGTTCAAGTCTACTTGAATTACTTAGATCACTTTTAATTGTTTCACTTTTATTTGTATCCGATTTTGAGTTTCAATGATGTGTTGAGCGGGGCTAAAGCGAAATTGGTTTATACTTGTGAATGGAATCCCTATCTTGTTGAGGCACCGAGACATAATCTTGAAGCAAATTCCGTCAACATTAGCCATTTATTTTAAAACATATTGGGAATTTTTTTTATGTATTTCGAACAAGTGTTCAATCCTTTTTTTTTCCTCCTTGTGGATGTTTGAAGATTTTTTATGTATTTAGAATTTGATAATTACAAATTTAAGAATATTGGATAATCTATATAATTTTTCTTTTATTTGCATTTAACATGATGTAATTTTTTTTTTAATTTATTTGTTTTTTGACCAAAAAATGAAGTAATTAATTGAATTTGAAGGCTTCTATAAATTCTAAATGAAGTAATTTATTTATTTTTTAAAATTTACATTTTGGGAAGGTCTAAACGACATTATATTTTTAAACTTTGGGGCGGTTACAAGCTGCCCCAAACATTTCAAAATTGGCAAAATTGTAGAGGCGGTTTTGAACCGTCTCAAATTACACCCAAACGAGCTCGAGAGAGGCATTGTAGAGGCGGTTTCAAACCGTCTCTACAAATTCTTTAAGGCGGTTGCAACCACCGCAAGGAACCGCCCGGAATTCCCGGCGGTTGGCAAAACTACCTCTACATCCTAGAGACGACGGTATTGTAGACGGTTTTGAGACGGTATTTAAAACCGCCTCTACAATCTATAACCGCCTCTAGAGGACAAAAAAACCACCTGCGATGTCTTTTTTTGGTGTAGTGAGGGGAGCAGACTAGCAACAATCTCATGATACATGAGACTAGTCCATTCATGTGGTGCCCGACTTGTTTGGTGCACATGGTTTATTGCTTGAATGAATGGGTTGCTTTCTCCTGGTCAATGCATGCTATCGATCGTTAGTAATTGCTTTCTATTAATGCCAAAACATTAATGCCAAGGTGTTGAGTCAATGAACTCTAGAATTAATTAATTGCTTTCTATTAATTTCAAGATTTTTAATTTCTTTTTCATGTTATTACGTACGTGCTTGATAAATTTTTCAACTTTTAATGATTGAATGCCAAAATTAATTAATATAGAAAATTAAAACTTGTCAATTGTCAATGGTCAATGGATGTGTGTACTTTTCATTTATCTTCTCTCTCATCTTGCACATGACATGCACACCTTTAGTATCTCTCTTTTCTCTCTTTCTGAACATGCAACTTGGATATTGCTGGTCACAATCCACAAACGATTAACAATATTGGTTTCCTATTATACATCATGAAGATATGCGAAACCTTGCCAAAGCAACTGCAAAATTAAATTGTTAATTACTCAACTAACTATCATTTCATTCAACTGACTTCATCATTCTCGAAATAAATAAATAACTTCATGGTGTATTGGGTCCCCAAACAAAGACATTTTCGATTGAGTCCTCCATCTAGTGGATAATATTACCCAATTAACACTTGACTTAAGATTTTTGCCTTTAAAACCATTAAAGAAAGGACCTATTTGTCTTAAATGGTGTCATTTTCTCATAAATTTCAATGATAGGGAGTTAATGGGTAAAGTTAGAATAGATGGAGGATCCAATTGGTAATTGTTTTTGTTTAGAGACCTAATTGAGAGTCACCTATAATTGTTGGGGGGGGTTAATATGTCCTTTTTTCCCAAACAACCATACACATATTAGATTATTAGTAGTGGATATAAAATATAGTACCAAAAATTTTCAAAGAGAATAGTGGTTATATTAGTAGTGAGTAAATTATAAATTAGTTCCTCTAGGTTTAAAAAACTAATTAATTAGTCCTTTTTTGTTTCAAAAACTAATTATTTAGTCCTTGTATTCATAGATTTTTTAGTAACTTAATCATTTATTATTATTATTATTTTAATTAATAAAATAAGTAAAAAAAAAATAACTACAAATATGGAGGATTGATGTTAAAATATCAATTAGTCCTTTTTTGTTTCAAAAACTAATTATTTAGTCCTTGTATTCATAGATTTTTTAGTAACTTAATCATTTATTATTATTATTATTTTAATTAATAAAATAAGTAAAAAAAATAACTACAAATATGGAGGATTGATGATAAAATATCATATTTTAAAATAAAATAATATTAAAATTAAGTATGGTCAACAAAAATAAAAGAGTTTACTTTTTGAAACAAAAAGTACTAATTAATTTGTTTTTTTATTTTTAAATAAAGGGACTAATTTAAAATTTTCTCTAGTAGCAGTTCAAACTTGAAAGTTGAAACCAAATTCCCTCCTCTTTTAAATTGACAAATGATGGTTAGAGAGAGCTTAGCTTAGCTTCAAAATCGGCAACATTCCCAGCGACAACTACTCTGGATTTCCTCCACTCCACGCTTCACATGGAAAAATAGACGGCGGCGTACACATGCAAATGCAATACAACATTCTAATAATATGTCTCTTCATCTCCCACGTAAGCCACCACCATTTATACCAATTTTATTTGGACCAGAACTTGATGATGAAGAAGAATATGATTCGTCAAACCTAGCTAGCTACCTGTAATCAAATCAAATAATAACCAAATTCTAGAATCCGGCTAAACTAGCTAATTGAAATTAATTAATGTAGAGTTAAGTTCTTCATCATTAGTAATTAGTATGTTTGCTTTGTAATCTTGGGTGTGAATTCAATATCGAAATACAACAATAAAGTAATTTTTTTTATGAAAGCACTAGTTGAGATCGGGAATGAATTAGTCTCAATGCATAAAAACAAGAGTATATAAATTAGTTCCTCTATTTTTTAAAGACAAATTAATTATCTTTTTAAACTAATTATTTTATCTCTTAACCAGTAATAATCATGTTTAATTTAAAATTATTTTATTTTAAAAAAATATTATCTTTTCTCATCAATTATTTCACATTCATGCAAGTGAGACGCGCGCAGGCACGTGCATGCACACACACACATATATATTACTTCAAAAAAAACCAAAATAACTTAAAAAAGAATGAAAATGATTAATTTACAAAACAATTTAAAAATATAAAAACCATACAATTAGTTTTTAAAATAAAGAGTACTAATTGATTTGTTTATCAAAACCAAAGAAACTAATTCACAATTTACTCTTCAAAGTTGACTTCCAGAGAAATCAACATAATTATTAAACAGAAAATGCAAAAAACTTGATCATTATTTTCTCATAATTTTGATTTTTTTTTTTATTGTGTAGAACCATATCATAATTTACAAACAATGTGTGCACAATAACTTATCACATGGGCTATGTTCAATTTTCTTCCTAAAGTGAAGATTCATAGCTTATAAAACTGAATGTGGCCGTACATATCATCCCTATAAGTACAAATGGAGACCTCCAAATAGTAAAAGTTCAAGTTTGACTTATTTAATTAACCTTAATTAATTAATTAATAATAATTTGCAGCTGACAAATATTCAAGCAACATGAATCCCTAGCTACATTTTTTTTTCCTGAAGAGTGGATTTCAAGCCACCATAGAGTACTCCTCCCTATAAATATATGCTCTAAGCCATTTTTGTATCATCCACTGAACTGCCTAGCTAGCTACCAAGCTCATAATTGTTTGTCCCTTTAATTCTTTCATGATGGCTAAGTTTGCTGTTTCTTCTCTTGTACTCTCCTTCTTCTACATTTTTCAACTATCAAATGCAGCTTCTAGCTACAGCCTATAATGTGATTCAGTTTGGTGCAAAACCAGATGGCAAAGCTGATGCAGCACAACCATTTCTTAAGGCATGGTCAGCTGCAAGTAGCTCAGCCACTCCATCCATAATTTCTCTGCCTTAAGAAAGGTACTTGCTAAAGGCAATAGTGTTTACAGGTCCATCTAAGAAAAAAATTACGGTTCAGATAAATGGAACCCTTGTAGCTCCTACAGATTATCGAGCCCTAGGCAACTCGGGCTGCTGGATTTTGTTCATTAAGGTTAATCGAGTTTCTGTCTTTGGTGGCAACCTTGATGCTGAAGGTGCTGCCTTTTGGGCTTGCGTCCTGTTGGAGCTAGCGTAAGTGTTGTGTGTGTGTATATATATATATATTTCAATGAAATTTAAGATCAATTTAGTAATTAAACAAGTTGCATTATATATGTATATATTTCCAAATGCTAGTGATCAATTAATTATATGAAAAGTTGATCTCCACACGGCTAACAAAATCTCAGATGGCCACTCCTCCCAGCTTAATCTTGTGGTCTTTGTCCAATAAATTTTTGCTGACTTTCAGGTTAACATTTGAATGTTAATTAATGTATTTGTGCTTATGTATTTAATTAGCATATATTTTGATGCGTAAATATTTTTTACAAAAATTTAAAACCTCAACTAAATCAACAGTTTAATGTAAATTAATGCATTTATGGTTATGCATTTAATAAATATTTTTGAAAAAAAAATTGAAACTAATTATACGAAGGAAATAAATATTTCAACTTGTTATCACTAACTATATATATTAACAATATTACATCGTATTGTTTAATTTATGTAAGTTTTTTTTCTCACTTAATTACCACAAGACAAACACATACTGAGAATGACAATTAATGGGTTCCAAATTTTATACAAGTCCAGTCGCCTTTTGCTGTCACTTTTATTTGTTGAATTTATTTACCTTAGCACCGTTACTTATGCAGATTCTTAAATATCTTTTAAATATGATGGTTGAGAATATGATTTTTTTATTTTATTAAAAAAATCTTTCGCTAAAAGGAAATTGACAATTAGCAACTGATTTTAGTGATGGATATTAGTCCATCTCTAATTGGAGATAAATTTACGGAATAGAAAAAAGTGATTTTTGCAACGGACTAGCGATTGAATAGCGAGAGATATTCAACGACGGATTTAATTTCGTTTCTCAATAAAGCAGTAAAAGAAAGCATCACGATCAACGACGGATTTCCATCATTGATTTAGTGACGGAAAAAATCTATCGCTATCCGTCGATAATAGAGACGGATTTATTCCGTCACTAATTAAAATAACCAAGGGTCATCCAAGTTAGCGACGAAATCAAATTCCATCGTTAATTTGAATAGCGACGAATTACCAAATTCAAAGCTATTTTGGCAATTTTTAGGGATTTTTGGGGGATTGTTAGTTCAAATTAGCATTCCGTTGTTAATTTGAATTTTAAATAGCGATGGATTACGAAATTCGTCGCTATTTTGGCTTTTTTTAAAAATTCTAGACAAATCGGTGCCTTTTAGGTTTCAAATTAGCAAGAAAACGATTCCGTCGCTAATCCGATACTAATTAGCAATGGAAACGATTTTCCTCGCTAATTAGCGACGGTTTAGCGACAAAATTGCATCCGTCATTGAATTAAAACCCTATAAAAAGGTAGTTTCTCTTCTTCTTCTCCATTATGCTCTCCCTCTCCTCCACAAAAAATCTGCCGCCGACCAAAAACCTCCTCCCCACGCCGCCCCACGCCTCCCCAAATCGTTCAACTCGGTGAGGCGCATCTTTCTCCCTAAAATTTTGACAAAATCTCCTCTATCTCCTTCATCTCTTGGGTAAAACTTTCTCTCTAACTCTTTCATTTAAAAAAAAATTAAATGAATATTATAAGTTTTTAGGTTAATTTTATTATTCTTTAGTTGATTAATTCTTTGTTTAATTTCGTTATTTATCAATTTAATTTTTTTAATAATTGTTTGAATGCTCGTTAATTTTATTGTTATGTTTATCTTTAATTATATTAATTATTAGTGTAATTTTTTTAAAATATTTTATGTAATTTAGTTAAGGTTGATTTATTGTTAATTTATTTGTTATTAATTTATAGTTAAAATTTAATTATTTAATTGTTAATTGTTATGTTAAATGTGTTAATTAATTAATTATTTATTTGTGTTAATCACTAGTTGAATTTTGTTAGTTGTTTGTTTTAAGTTGATTTTTAATTATATAATTTTGTAGGTACTTTAGTTAAATTTTATTGATTATTTCTTAAGATATTTTAAATTTATATTGGTTGGTTATTTTTTTAATTTTTAATTTGTGATGTTGTTTTTCATTTGAATTAGTTACTAGCTTAATTATTTTATATTGTTTATTATTATTTTTAAATTTATATATTATTTCAATTCGAATTAATGTAATTAGTTAGATTAATTTAATGTAATTGATTTAATTTATGGTTAGTTTGAATATAAATGCTAAAAGTAATTGTTATAGTTTAATTTTTAAAATTGAAGGAAGATATAAAACATGCATAATGATTTAATTGTTTGAAAAATAAAAAAAATTGGAGTAATGATGTAATTGAAAAAAAATTAAATTCGTTCTTTAATGAAAGAATTAATGGAAATAGTTCTTTAATCTTAATCTTATAATTTATGATTTAATCGAAAAAACCATAGTTTTGACATACAAATATCAACCCGATTGCAATGAAGTTAAAATTTAATAAACATTTTATTTAGGATTAATTAAAATAAATTTAGTAGAATTTATTATTAGATTAATTAGAAAACTTTGATAAACATAAACGTTTTTAGCTTCAATATAGATAACTTTTCATTAATTAATAGAATTTTTTTAAAATTTAATTTATTTAATATAAGTTATGAAATATAATTTTATTTTTTGGAGGGTTCTTTTATAGAGAAAATAAAATTTAATGAAATTAAATCGTATATTAAAAAAAGACAAGCATAAAAAAAATTAATAAAAAAAATTCAAGAACTCCATTGAACTAAAGTGAAAATATGTGTCCTAACAACAAGATAGGGTGGAAAATATATAAAAAAATAAAATTACATAATAAATTATTGAATATTATAAAATTAAGTATTTAAGAATATAAAATAGAAAGAAAATGTAATCATTCTTTTAACAATCAATTAAATATAAAGTCAAATTGTTAAGACAAAATTCATAACTAGTATCGTTAATTACACAACCAATATATATGCTTAATTTTTATTTAAAATTCATAGGTATAATGATAAATAATTTTTTGCATTGGGTGTGTAATTTTTGCGATAATTACAAAATTGGGGTCCAATCGACAATGGATGAATGTTAAGTTAGTTGACGGGTTATTAAATGATGACTTTGTTAGAAAGGTAGAACAATTTTTAGTTTTTACTTGTTGAACATCGTGAATGTATGGACAGAACCAAAATTAAGTGTCTTTGTAATTACGGTAAGTGTCGAAATAGAAATTACGAGAAGGTTGAAACGATAAAATATCATTTGTAATGTAAGGTTTTTTATGTCGAAATATTATGATTGGATACACCATGGCGAATTTGAATCCTTCATGGCATCTATTAATTCTAAGAGTCATTATGTTTTTGAAAATTATTATATAGGTAAAGGTAGTTCTAGTGAACCCGAAAACCCATATCAAACTATGATAATGGAGGCAGTCGGTCCATCATTCGGTCCATCTAACACGGAGGAGGCTCCTAATCTTGGCATCCAAGCACTTTTATGATATGTTGAATGCATTACATAGAGAGATTTGTCCTAGTTGTGATGAGTGCTCGTAATTTTCAGCGAGTTGCATGAATGCCGAATCTAAAAATTGAATATCATTTTTCGGAAAAGTGTTTTAACTAGTTATATGAGTTGATAAAAGAGTTGATATCGGCTAATAACCGTATGACGGATAATTTTTATGAAACAAAGAAGGTGGTTAAGGGGATGGGTTTATCGATGGAAAAAATTCATTATTGTCAAAGCATGTGCATAATCTATTGGAAGAAAAATAGTAAATTAGATATATGTAAGTTCTATCAACATCCTTGATATCGAAGTTTCGTCAAGGATTGAAAAAAGGAAAACTTGTTCTAATTAAAAAAGTGTACTACTTCCCTCTAACTCTACATCCGCAACGATTGTACTTATCAAATACGAGAGCTAAGCATATAACATGATGTCGAACATGGGGGAGATGACACTGAAGCAATGTGTCATCCCTCTCATTTTATTACATGATAAAGATTCAATAAGATTAATCTTCTTTTTATAGCTAAAAGAAGGAACATTAGATTAGGAGAGTGCACTAATGAGTTTTAACCATTTGGTCAATCCGGTGCATAATATTCCTTGTGGCTATTCATTGTGACTCCATATAATTTGCCACCAAGGATGTGTATGAAAGAGAAATATATGTTCTAAATAGTGATTGTTCCGGATCCAATAAATTCGAAACATAAGTTGGACGTTTATCGACGACCTTTCATATTCGAGCTTATCCAGTTATGGAAAGTGGATGTGGTGACCTATGATGTGTACCATAAGTAAAATTTTTTATTAAGAGTCTGTAGTTATGTGGACTATTAATGACTTTCCTATATATTCGATGTTGTTTGGTTGGAGTTGGAGCACTATAGAAAAACAAGCATGTCCTTACTCGTATGAAAAATTCGGATGCTTTCTCCCTTCCTAATGGAAAGAAGACCTCCCGGTTTGACGATCATTGAAAGTTTCTTCCTCATGATCATCCATAAAAAAGAAACAAGAAAGCATTCACCATAAAAAAAAAGTTGTTAAATTTGACCCTCCTCCAATTCGATCTGGAGCGGAGATGTTACATCCGGCGGAACAATGAGGGTTGTTGAAGGTGACGGAAGATGATGCGGATGATCATAACGAGTAGAATTTCTTAGATATACGGATAGAGGAAACAAAGTATTTTTTAGAATTTTCCATATCGGAGTACAAATCTCATTTTTTTATAATTTAGATGTCATACATATTGAGAAAAATATATTTGATAATATTTTTAACACAATCATGAATGTGCTTGGTAAAACTAAAGATAATGCCAACTTTAGGGAAGACTTGAAACTTTCTTGTAAAAGGTCGAATTAGCAAAGGATAATGCGTCTAGAAAGTATCCTAAAGCTGTATTTACCCTACCTAAACAACAAAAAACAAAATTGTTTGAATGGATAAAACAACTTAGGTTTTTCGATAGATATGTTTCCAATCTAGCTAGATTTGTTAATATGCAACAAGACAAACTTTATGGGATAAAAATTCATGACT